CGCAGAGGTCGACTCAAGGCCTCTTGACAAATACTGATATGACAACTAAAAGCTAACGACACAAAAGATCGACTCGCTCCCGAGTCAAATAGTACTAATGCAGGTACAGAATTTACAAGAAAGGTACCTATGCATAACATAATATAAGCATAATATCTCAGACTCAAATAAATAGAGAGAATAATACATACCGGCCACAACGTCGGGTGCTGCGCGGACCTCCTCCGCTGTCAACTGGAAGGCTCTCCCGCGAGCCTTCGGCACCTCGACCTTTGCTGGCCGAACCTCGGTAGCCCTATCAACAGGCACAGATCCCTGCACTGATCCCTGATGTAGCTGAGGGCACTCGGCCTTCCGATGGCCGGTCTGGTTGCAATGGAAGCAAACAGAAAATCCCTTGGGGCAATCCCTCGCGATATGCCCCTCCTTCCCGCACTTGTAGCATACTCCCGCTCTGCATGACCCCTCGTGACTCTTGCCGCACTTCCCACAAGTGCGGCCCTTCGCGCTCCCAGATCTCGAATTAGCGGGCCTGGCCCGCTTGGCTGCCGGCTGAGACTGTGCCGGCCGTTGATCCTTCCCCTGAGACTCCGCCTCCTCCCTGGCCTGAGTCTGCAGCTCTATCTCCCTCTTCCGGGCATTTGCCTGGAGCTCGGCAAATGTCCGGTAAGTCGAGTTCGCCACGAACTCCCGAATATCTCTCCTCAGAACACTCAGATACCAGCTCATGCGAGCCTGCTCGGTAGACACCTGCTCAGGGCAAAACGTCGCCCTCTCATGAAACTTCTGGTAACAACTGTAACAGAATCAGTACCCTGATTGAGGGTCAAGAACTCATGAATCAACCGTTCCCTATCCACCGGGGGAACATACTCGTCTCTGAACATGGCGGTGAACCTCTCCCAGGTCACCTCAGAAATCTCTGCTAGAGTGAAGCTCGCCGTTACGAACTTCCACCAATCCTTCGCTCCCAATCGGAGCTGGTTCAGAGCGAACCGTACCCTCAAGTGCTCTGGACAAGAACACGTGTAGAAACATCCCTCGATATCAGAGATCCACCTCATCGCAACAATCGGGTCCTGCGTCCCATCGAACTCTGGTGGCTTCGTGTTGCTGAACTCCCGAAACAACAACGAGTCACCTCCCTGAGGTCTAGCAGTAGCAACAGCAGCAGTAGCTACAGCAGCCGCAGCCTCAGTCACTGCTGCATATCGCTCGTCAAAGGTCTCAATCAATGTGGTCTTGATGTCCCCGAACATCTCTGGAATCTCGGCCCGGATGGCAGCAGCCACCTCCTCATGAATCAATCGACGGATCTCCTCGTCGCTGACACCACTGCTCCCAGGTGTGTGTCGTGTCCCAACCATGATGTCTCTGAAATACAACATAAAAATATCAGAGACTCGATCGAGCATACTCGCACTCGATAACGCAACCCTACTCGTCCTCCAATATCCTAAGGATTCTTACTTGGACTGCTCACTGATCCGGTGTCCTCAGTAGTACGGGCCCTATACTACTGACCACACCGCATCAGCATTCACCCCAAGTCCTCCTCCTTGGATCCCGGATCGCAAGTACTCTACTCTCGCTATGCATTGGCTACCCTTCGATAGACCTCTCATGAGCTCCTAACTGCTACCTACTAACTCTCAAGGCATCTCATAGCAGCAGTAATCTCCTAGGCTAAGGCATCACAAATCAGGCCACTCTAGTCCTAATATGAATACCTAGCCTACTCTAGCATGCATAACATAACATATCATATCTCATAACACATAATGTAAGGGTATTTTGGGGATTCACCGTTCGGGCGTTGGCTGACCGTACACACCGCTCCACTCTGGTTGTTTCAAAACCTATTGCTCTTTTTAGAAAAATCAGTTTTTATTTGTTGAAAATTTCTCAAATCCTCAGTTTGAGTTCAGATACGCCCGAAGGTGCATTCGAGTCCCTCAAACCTAGGCTCTGATACCAACTTGTAACGATCAGATTCTCAAAACAAAATTTTCATTTTTCAACAACCAAATTTATATAAATATATTCTCAAAAAGTATTCCACAATAGTTATCAAAACAAAACATATCCCAAGATCACAAAATCAAATCTCCTCTCTGTGTGTACGAGTCACGCCGGCGCCTTTCCACGGTCATCGCTAGTACCTGAAACACATAACACAACAACTGTAAGCATAAATGCTTAGTGAGTTCCCCAAAATACCACATACAACACATACACCACTCGAGGCTACCATACGACCCTCCGGTTGATGTGTCTCAGCGGGACCCTCCGGTCCCGTAGCTCGTTGGACCCTCTGGTCCGGTTATAGCTCGTTGGCCCTCCGGCCCGGTCTGCCTCGTTGGACCCTCCGGTCCGGTCTATACAATTATATATCATACATACATCACATAGCACATAATCTCATACATGGCACACAATCTCATACATAGCACATAAGACCTTCCGGTCAACTCATAATACCACTCTAGGTAATGTATAGTGAGAAGACTCACCTCGTGTAACTCAGTAACTTGGAAATCTCGGACTCCGTGAAAATAGGATCTAGCCTCCGCCTAATCATACGAAATAAACACTCGGCATCAACACATTTACCAAGGCTAGACCATTCCCTCTCTTAGCACTCTCAGGAGGGTAAAAGACCATTTTACCCCTCTCAGGGCTCAAATACTCTAAAGGTTAACCAAACCCCAAAAGTCAACAAAAGTCAACCTTCTGGGGTACGCGACGCGTACCAGATCTGTACGCTAAGCGTACCCGATGGCTTCACAGAACCGGTATGATTGGTTTGAGGCCACATGCCAACAAACCCTGGACGGTTGGGATGAAGTCTTACTGCTCTGTGTTGTAAACCAACAAAACCGGTATGATTGGTTTGAGGTCAAGGAACAACAATCCTTGTATGCATGTTTGTTGTATATGTTATCTTTTTGTGTGGTGGTACTTTGGGGGAACTCACTAAGCTTCGCGTTTGTAATTCTTTGTTATTGTTTCATGTACTTTAGATGATCAGAAAAAGCAAAGGCGTGATCGTGCACATCCTTCGCATTCTATGTTATTGGATTTTGGGATACTCTATTTTACGAACTATACTTTTGAAGCAACGTTTTTGTAAACAATTATTGACTTGGGGTTGTTTTGGAAAAATAAAAGTTTACACTAATTTTTGGGATGTTACAATACCCACAATCAGTGAACTTAATCAGAAAACATGAGCAAAATCAGTTTCATACAAACAAATCATACCCATAATCGGTTTCATAGAAACATACAATATATCTAATCATGAGCAATAACAGATTTCAACCAAAATAAAAAAAAACAAGAAAAAAAAGAACAGAAATCGGGACAAGAAATCAATAAGCTTACCTTAGGTGTAGGGAAAGATAACGGTGGGTGGCTGGCGATGGTGGTGAAGGTTGCTCGAAAAAATAAAAAAAATAAAAACCCAAATGTGGAGAAATGACTAGAAAACCCCAAATCAGCATTTCAGGGAAAAAAAGAAAAAACAAAACTCAAAAACTGTGTATCTTTCTTACCTATAACGGCGAAGGGGAAGTGTTGGTCAACGGTGGACGTTGTCGTCGTCGGTGGTGGCCATTGTGGTCACCTGAATGCTTAAAACTAGAAAAAAAAGACGGGGAAAGATGGGAAATAAATAAAAACGAGAAGAAGGGTGTTACCTGACATCGCCGATGAAGGAGAATGGCCGGAGGGGTGGTGGTTGACGCTCGTCGCTGAGAGATCGAGAGAGAATTCCTTTCGGTGTGCCACTGCAACTGAAGCATTGATTGATGCCCTCGTTTAGTTTAATCCTTATGCTGACAACAAGTTATCGTTATATGTTTAATGAATTATACATCGTTTTGTTTATCTAGCAAATTAAATAAAAATTAAAAAACTCAAAACATGTGTCGACGACATGTCGTCAATACAGAGTTCACATGGATTACAAATTGTGTGCCGACAATATGTCGTCGGAATTGCTTACCAAAAAACGTCTTCATTTTTTATTTTTTGAACCACTTAATATAATTAAATAGAAATTATAATTTATGGAAGGTATACCGATGATATATTGTTGGCATAGGTTCCCACATCAAATAAATTGGTCAACTATATCTCGCCGACAAGTCATCGGCATAAGGTAATTTATAGCGATGACATGTGTCATCGGTATAGATGTCGTCGACACAAGGACTTTTTCTTGTAGTAAAGATTGATATTGAATTTTCTAGTAGCTAGCAAGTTAGGGGCTTAATTGTTAAGCCGGTATAGATTCACTACTGTATAGATTGCTTAACCGTTATTAATTATTCTTGTACCTAGCAAGTTTGCTTAACCGTTAAGCCTGTATAGATTGCAATCTTATTAATTATTCTATTTTTATTATCAACTATTATTATTATTATTATTATTATTATTATTATTTGAAAAAGTAAAGAGTAATAAGAGTAAATTATAGGAATGATCCATATTGTTTGTGGTAATTTGTGTGTTTGGTCCCTAACTTATGTTTTTTAACTCGGACGGTCTCTTGAATTTGATTTGGTTGCATATTTGGTTTCTACTAAACATAAAAAGTGCCTTTATATTATTATTTTAACATTTTTTAATTATTGGGAGAACTTCGAATATGTCCTCGGTAAGCGTCTAAATATCGTATTTGCACAGCCTAAACTGTAAATATTGTATTTATCGTTATTAATTGTTTAAAATATCGGATTGCCCAAATATATATTTTTTTAATAGTTTGCTTAACCGTTAAGCCTGTATAGATTGCACTCTTATTAATTATTCTATTTTTATTATCAATTATATATATATATATATATATATATATATATATATTAAAATTATCACTCCTTAGCTACAGTAGATCCAAGTACTGTTCATCAGGTTACTTTGACTCCACCATGGTTACTTAGCCACCGCCTCATCCGGTATATACACCGTTTCATCTGGATCATTCCTCATTCCACTGTCCAAGAACCCACCGCCTCATTTTATTTTTCCTCAACCCTCCATCGACCAAATGTATGCTTCCTTCTCCAGCTTCTCTTTGGATTCAATTACTGCCGCCTAATGTACCCCTTCACCTGCTTCACCAGTAGCGATTCTTCATTTATCGTCCTTCTGCTCGAAACCACCGTTTTTTCCACAGGTTTTCGCCGTTCCTTTCTTTCGCTCTTCTGCAAATCCACCGCCTCCATAAATGGACTTCTGCCTTCCAGTTCCTTCCACGGTCTGATGCTCTTCCAAGCGACGGCTTTCCCCACCCGACCTCCACCTCCACCTGGTAAGGTAATTTCTTTCATCTACGGCTTAACGATTCTCGATGTTTAGTTTAGTTTTTGCTCCCCAAGGTCTTCCGCTCAACTTCTGTCTTCTTCACAGATCTTCCCAACATCACCACCGTTATCGATCAACAGAGGAATGTTGTACCACGAGGTACAAGAGTCGAAACTGTGTGCCATCCATTATGTCAACACGGTGTTGCAGGGACCTTTCTTCTCTAAGTTCGATTTGGCTGCTCTGGCCTCTGATCTTGATCGGACGGAGCACCAGATGATGTTGGAAGGCTCCGCCCACCACCGTATTTATGAAAGCACCACTAGGCTTTTTTATGTTGGATTAAGATGACTATTACTCATCTTCACAGTCACCGCTTCCACCTCCTAGATAGCACTGACATCTCGACGCAGTCGAGCCCTAGATAGCACCCACGTCTACAATCGGTTCAGGTGATGTATTTCAACCCTATTTCCGTTTCTTTCTATGCCCCTACCTTCATATTCACTTTTAACTTCATTTTATTTTTAGATGATCACATGAATTTCCCCTATCATAAGCGTCCTTCAAATTGGCGGCAATCATCTGGTGGCTCCATAATCAACTAAAAGAAATCAAGTCGATTTCTGCTCAGAATGCGGTCGAGAAAAGGAAGACGATGAAGGAGGCGTGAGAGAAGACGGTGATGGAAGGTTCCATGACCTGCTACTCCTATAGTACATATTTGTAACTTTTAGGTTAATCTTTTCTGGGTTTCATGTTTTAGCTCATTGCAGTTGTGAATTCACACATCAGGTTGGTGAACCCGACACTATTCTGGGTTTTGTCATGTTTTTGGCTTAGTTTTTGGAGATTGCAGATATATTTCTGGCAGGGGAGCCATAATTGTTGAAGTAGCTAACGAATTGGCAATGTTCATTATTGGACAAGGTTTAGGATTGTTCTTGGACTGCCATGAATGAACGCTTCGGTGCATATATGTATTATATACATCTTTTTTGGACTGGTTCTTTTGTTTTGCTCACCTTTGTTTTGTAAAATCCTGGGTTGAAACATATAATTGGGCTTAAGGTTAAGGATTCCAACTTCTAAAATTAGCCCATAGAGACTCATGTCATGACCCATCGATTGATCAGGAGGTTAGGTTATTGCAAGAAGCCAAGAACTGGTATTTCTCCCACACACTTGATCGATGTCTCACTAATCGACAGTTCCACATGGCACAGATTCGATTGATTTCTTAAAGACTCCACTTCAGCTAATCGACCAGTAATTGACTTCAACCGAGTTCCAATATCTCAAAGGATGGTTCTAAGTTCTAAACATTGCAATAACTTATTCTGTCAATAAGGAAGTGTTTGATCAATGTGAATTAAAAGTGTTTTGCAATAACTTCTTTTGTAGTGGAATGTTGTAAACTAAAGTACTCGAATCAAGTTTGCACTCATTGTGATAGAGTTTACCTTTGGTTTCCCCTACATTCTGATGTCGGTTAAAATTGACAATTTTGGTTTCCAAAGACGAGAGTGTCATTAGGTTACTTGCTCTGATGATCTTACAACTAAAGCACCAGATGCACAGGTAAACGATCACACCAGATCTTTTTATTAGTTACTTGTGGGGTTAACCTATATCAACTTATGATCAATAATCATTCTAATAAAAAGTTATTTAACCAAATGTATGTTGTGCTGTCAGAAACATGGAAATCTCAGCAATAAGGAGGTTATTCATCTACATCAAAGTAGCTGGACAATAAAACCATAGGAATGTTATATGCAATTATGATTATTCATCTTCCAGCTGTGTTTTGTTTCGCATGTGAGGTTATGTGATTATATGGTGCTAAAAGTAATGGAGGTCTTTCCGATGCAGAAGCTGGATAAATCAGCGGTGCTTAGTCATTGCTATAAGTTCTCATTATAGTATTTTTTTGCTTTTTTTTTTATTCCCAAATGTTGGTATTTATGATGATGCTAATACATTTTTTTAGATTTCTTAAAGTGGACAAATTTCATAAACTTATTTCAGGTGTGACAGTGGGGGCACTTTTTCTTACCTTCATATCTCATGTATACTCATGGACCAAGGCAACAACACAAGGCTGTTAAGAATGTTCCCTCCACACAAATAAATAAAATATATGAGGTCAGAAGTCAAAACTTCATAAAGTCTCAATGGATACTTGATTTCTATATTTGTAATTGTGTGTGGGCATATATCTGAAAACTGCCCCTACATACTATTTTTATAATTACAAATTTTTGATTTTAACATTTTTGGACCAAACTGCCCTCTGCATACTGTTTCTATGGGTAAAAATTTTGATTTTGAGATTTTTGGACGAAACTGCCCCTGCATATTATTTTTAAACTTTAAAAAAAAATTAACAGTTTTAAACCAAACTACCCCTGCATACTAATTTTATAGTTAATTTTTTTTTATTTTAACAGTTTTGGACGAAAATGTCCTTGCATAATGTTTTTATACTTAAAAAAAATTTGAATTTAACAATTTTGGATGACACAACTCTTGCATATCGTTTTTAAAGTTAATCTTTTTTTTATTTCAACGGTTTTGAACTTAGATTGATGTTGAATATATTTAAGTAGTAAATTGAGTAAATAACGATATGCTTTGCATTTTGTTTTTATTCCTTTACCAAAAAACAAAGTACATAGTCATTTTTTGTTTTTCCATCTTTAGGTGCTAAATGCAATAAATGGCAACGACCTTTGAATTTATACATTTTTTTTTTGTAATTTCTTTTTTTTTCCAAAAACCAAACTACATTAATATTAGGTGCATTTTCCATTTTTACGAGTAAATTGACCCAAATAGCAACATACTTTCAGTTTATATGTATTTTTTTCCCCATTTTTACGAGTGAAATGCCCCAAGTGCATTCTCATTTAGGAAAGAAGAACCATGGATACACCAGCCGTCAGATTTAATCTCCAATTTCACAACTTCACCATTCTTTAAGGTAACTTCTATACCAGACGTATGCTATGTTTGTTTTTTTGTTGTCTAAGATTATATTTTCTAATTTTGTTTTTATTTTTTATTGCTGCAAAGTAGCTGTTCGCTGGCATACCTACATGAATCTACATGTCAAGAATGAAGCTTTTTTTAGGTGAATTTGTCACCGTCATTTTTTGTTGATTTGTAGTATCACCAGGTAACTTTTGTTAATTTTTATGTTCCTTTTACTATGTTTAATATATAGATTGGTAATAAAATGAATGAACATTAATAGATCATGCATTTGGGAAATTGAGTTTATGAAAATACTTTTTTTTTTCAGGGGTAGCTGTTGCCTGGAAAGCTGCAAATGTGAAAATTGGAACTACAGTGATCGTATTTGGACTAGGTGCAATTAGGAAAGCTGTATGATTCTTATAAACTTATATAAATGATTTTTATGAACTATAAATAAAGACACAACTTTAAAAGGGCCCATAACAGGAAAATGGGACTGTATGTTTTTTAAATTAACTTGCCTCATAACAATACTCAAACTATAAACAAATAGTTAATCAAATGACATTTACAAAGAACAACCAACGAAAAAAATTGTCACATCCGAACCCCGCAACGCGGGGGTCCCACCTAGTTATTATTATTATTATTATTTGAAAAAGTAAAGAGTAGTAAGAGTAAATTACACGAATGATCCATATGGTTTGTGGTAATTTGTGCGTTTGGTCCCTAACTTATATTTTTTCAACTCGGACTTGCATATTTGGTCTCTACTAAACATAAAAAGTGCCTTTATATTATTATTTTCATATTTTTTTATTATTGGGAGAACTTCTTATATGTCATCGGTAAGCGTCTAAATATTGTATTTGTCCAGCCTAAAGTATTTGTCCTTGTTAATTGTTTAAAATATCGGATTTGCCGAAATATTTTTTTTTAATAGTTTTTAACATTTAATAATTCTTTTTTATATTCTGAAATCATTAAAACTAAAATAAAAATTAAATAGACAATATTGCCCTTGGCTTCTAAAATTACAGAAACTTAGAATAGCATGATTATGTATCAATTGCAGCTTCCTCACGATCATCATCAATGTTAAACTTCCCATCCTCCTTGCCTAGCTCCATTTTCTTCTTCAAGTCGAATATAAATGGCATGTAATTGTAATTTCGTTGTCCTCTTTCTTGCCCTTTCTCAATCTTAAATGTTGCCCTAATTTTGTTATCAGATGAAGATTATACAACGAGTAGCAGAAGACCACACAAACAATTCATCCTCCTTCTTTCCCTTTCTCAATCTTCGAGTTTTCCCTAATATTGTTATCAGGTGAAAATTATACAACGACTCAACCAATAGCAGAAGAGAACACAAACAGTGATTTGTAAATCATTTCATGTAACTAAATTATCTTATTTTAAGCTTCAGAATTCTCTTTTTATGGGCATTGATAGTCTTGCTCGTGTTTGTTTCGACATTCTGATGAAATTAGAGTTGTGCAAAGGTTTCCGTTTGGTTGCTGTGTGAAGACCTAAGAATTTAGGTCTATTGTTGATGTCCGTTTCTGGTTTAATTGCTTCTGGTTCTACTTTCTCCCCCTAATCTTGATTGCTTCTTTAGTGAATCAATTTTACTTGGCTGCTATTATAGATTTTGTTGTTCTTCTTTTATCCCCCTTCTTTTTTCCAACATAATCAACACATATGCAACAAGAATCTCGAATCGATGAAATCCCTATATTCATTTTAGACTAATGCATTTGTTATGAATGTTGAAGGAATCCGGATATGTAACAAAAAGAAAGCTATTACAATTTTATCATCAGGTGTTCCAGTTTCAATTTGTGTTTTCATGGTGGATGTGTAAAGAAGTGTATTATAGTTACTTAGCCATCTTATGTACACGACAAAAACTTTATCAATGAGAAGGTTTTCTTTATCTAAACTTAACATTAGTCTAATCACACATTCTCAAATCAAATAATGTTCAATTCTCAAAGAAAGCCATTAAAATAATTTGCTGATTGTCGATTGCAAATACTATGTGATCACGAGCTTGATCATGAAATTGAAGCTATCTATTCCCTAGTTTTAATTATGAATTGAATAATCAATTAACAAATACAAGACATAAAATTACTTGGTGGTTATTCGATTGCGGCAATGAACAGAAAGAGGGCACGAAAAAAATAAGATGCGACAAGGGTTATGTGATTTACTCGATATTGAAATCTCCGGGTTATGGATTACTATGATTTAGAAGGCAAGGGTATTATTGTCTATTTTGTTATGTTTTTTATTTTTGTTGATTTTAATATATAAAAAAGGATTCTTAAATAACAAATTATGTTTAAAAAATAGATTTTGACAAATCCGATATTTTAAAACATTAAAAAGAGTAAATATGATATTTAAAATTTAAGATGGACAAATATGATATTTAGACGTTTAATAAGGGTACATACGTAATTCTCCCTTTATTATTTATCTATTATTTAAAATATTTATTAAAATAGCCATATACACCCCCACAACCCAAAACCCACTGTGACACTCCATTTACTTCCATACTCTCATCTTCTAAGACCATCTCCAACTTACTTCCATTTTTTCCCCAAACATGGAGTAAAAAACTAGGTAAATAGTGTTTCATCTCAAACCCTACTCTATTTTTTATCCTATTTTTACCTTCAAAAAATTTATTCCATTCTTCTAACATATATAAATTGTCAAACACACCCCTTTCTATTAATTTGATTTTAACAAATATATAATCTATATTTTTTTCATTACAATAATATTTAATAAATAAAATTATATTTATAATACGTAATTATAAGCTTTTGTAAAAATACGTTATTGTGTTTTAAAATTTCAAATATGTATTTAAATTTTAATATGAATTTGTTAAACAAAAAAACAACTTTTATATTTATAATTAATTAATATAATTTATATAAACACAATATTATAAGTATTAAATATTACATTTAAATAATAATTGGTAGATAAAAAAACCAGAAATGTATAAATATATAAAACGAGGGAGTAAAACCGACAACTTAAAGTTCATCCCCATTTTGGGCGAAATGAATAGTATAACACCATATTTGGTGTTATACTATTCATTTCCCCTAAAATAGGGGAATAAATTGAGTAGGGTTGAAGAGGAATGCGGGAAGAAATGGGGGAAATAATGGAGAATGAGAGTGGGTTGGAGATACTCTAATCAGGAACCCTTCACCATTATCATCTATGATTGCCTCCCTCATCCACCTCATCATCAACATGAATCTACTCCTTCTTATATCCTCACCAATTAGTTTCATTTCCTCCCTCTCCGTCTCCACCTCTCACTTCATCATTGATGGAATCATGGAACCCTAATTTTACCCATTTGTGACCTAAATACTACTGCAATCCTGTGAGTCGCAATGACCGACGCCTGCTCAATCTTCAGGACGATCGCCGTCTGTAACACCCACAAAATTCGAGTCAATTTAAAACTTTTTAAATCATTTGAAACCATTCAATTATTAAAATTTGTTTTCAAAATAGTTTATACAAATCAGAGTTCCCAGAAATCATAATCATCAATCGAGGAAGTGTACGGTCACGCCTTCGCCTACCCGCGGCCATCCGCTGAACCTGAAGACCAAAAGATAAATGCTCCAACTAATACCTCGGCAACGAACCACTTCCTTTGGCGTTTTCGTCCGTCAATCACGAACAGTTGCTAAGACCACTGAGTCCTGACGATGCTGAATAACCATCATGTGCAACCCTGTCCGCAGACTTCCCACATAATACCCCTTTTTCCAAAGGTGTTCCAATAAACTTCCCGCTCTCAGGTTTTAGAAATCCTTCTCTTCAGGGTTCACACCCTGACTCACTTACCAGCTCAAACGTCCACAGTTGAACTGCAGCAGCTGAAACAACCTCTGCCCTAAACCGGGCTACAACTATCCCAAACAGAATCTACATCCCAAAGTGTAATAGGCCGCACAATCAATCCTTACCACCTAATATAAAAGATCCAAGGAAAACCAGACCTCACAAAATACTCATGCCACATCAACCCACCTGCGCTCACCAACGCTGAAATAATGTTGTCTATTCTTGCAACCTACTGACCCCGAGCTATAATACAACCTGATCCTAGGGTCACAAGCCTGCTCACTCCTTAGAGCTCGAAAAACTGAGAGGGCACAATCCTTGACCTACAAAACAACAATCCAATCCATCAATTAACCATTCCACTTCCAGCTGTAAACCCTAGCTGAACATAATTATCACTTCTTTACGGAGTTCCCGCAACCCATATTCCGGCCTCGATCAAACCCCCGAGCCTTAAATTTAGAAACTCACGTGCTAGCCTCTCCCGCTCCACCCGCAGAAATATAACGAGTACAGATCATCTTCCTGATCCCAAATAACTGCAGCCCTCTGCTTATCAGAATACGTCTCAGAACTAGGAAGCTCGACCAGCTCCTCCCCTTGCCATCGTTACAACTGCTAAAGCTGTCGCGACAACCGTCTCAGCAATGGTTGTGTAGCGCTCGACGAAATACTCAACCATGACGGTCTTAATGGACCCTAAAATATCCAGTAACTGTCCCCAGACAAACTCGATCACCTCCTTCCGGATGATCTCACTGACACGGTCTTCTGACAATGCTGGCCTATCCTGGCTGCCAGCACCCGATCCTAACCTGGATCCGGTATCAAGACATCTCGTAACCACCATTCTGGCAAGACACCAGAAGAATCTATGATAATCCATATAACAATAGGGTACCAACTCCCAACCTAACCCTAGAGGTTGTGACTTCCTTGCTACGCGTATGGGTCCTGTGCTTTCAGTAGTACGGGCCCATACTAGTTTCCACACCTACCCATATTTGTCTCAAGTATCACCACAACACCCTACTAATACACATAGTGAGTATTCAAACCTTACCCCTAGTGGAATGCTAAGTATCCCATAACTGGCCTCTCGGCCTCTCACAACCCACCCATCCACCAACTACCACACGAGCCTCTATTAGTGCCAGTTAACTATTGCATGAATACAATCACATAACGCATGGCTTAAACAATCTTAGACATAAAGATTTAATCCCACAATGGTTGGACTCAGACAAGAGCTGCACAGCATGACCAAATCCCTTACCCTAAGACCATTTAACCCATGTAGCATGTGACTTGGAGTATTCACTCAATAGTTAGTTCACATGCGAAAGAGTCATACAACAATCAATGAGGTACTCTACATAATATAAGGCATCAAAGATCAGGCAACTCTATCATATGGTTCCTGAGGATCCCTATCTTATCACTAGCATGCTGTTCTAACATATCACATAATCAAAAACTGCATGGTATTTTGGGGTCAACTTATTGGCTCCGGCTGATCGTACACTTCACATCCTCTTTTACTTATTTTGAAAACCATTTAAAAAAATCATTTCAAAAATCTTTTTCCTTAGTTTGAGACTGGATTCACACGAGTGTTCCTCCAATACACTCAAACCAAGGCTCTGATACCAACTTGTAACACCCACAAAATTCGAGCCAATTTAAAACTTTTTAAATAATTTGAAACCATTCAATTATTACATTTTGTTTTCAAAATAGTTTATACATCAGTGTTCCCAGAAATCATAATCATCAATCGAGGAAGTGTACGGTCACGCCTTCGCCTACCCGCGGCCATCCACTGAACCTAAAACAATAAACTGAAACTGTAAGCCCGAAAGCTTAGTGAGTTACCCCCCAAAATACCAACATCATATAACCATAATCATATCATATCAACAAATAAAGAACAACCATGCATTTTGAGTCTATAGTGTGACAGATCCGCCCGCACCGGGCCTTCAGTCTACCTGGTCCACTCCCTGAGTCTACAGTATGAGTGGACCGCTTGTACTGGGCCTTCAGTCTATCTGGCCCACTCTCCGAGCCTCGAAATATCTGGACCGCCCTCTCGGGGCCTTCACCCTATCCGGACCGCTCGCCGAGCCTTCGGCCTGACTATGTCCACCCCCGGGTCTGTAGTTTAACCGGTCGGCCCTAGGTATGTTGGCCTACAGCACGAAGCAGGACCCGCCTCAACCCAACCCCCAATCAACAACCATGTGCACATATAACAGATAATCACATAACAGTCTATAGGCAAACAAACCGATCTAACATATCATATAGCATAACAACATCCTGATATTGCCATATTTATACATATTTTTAGGGAATATTTAAGTACATTTTTATATATATTTTGGTCATTTGCATAGAATAATGATACTTGTAAGGTTAAATTATATTTTGCAGCAAAAAAGAAGACATTTTGAAGAAAGGGACTAAAAGCGTTAAAGGATGGAACTTTGGAGGTTGAAGGCTTGAAAGACAAGAAAAACACCCAAAAAAGACGTACTCCCGACGTGAA